ATGCGGTGAGGATTGAACTCGCTATTTCCCTTTCCGGGGGCTAACGCGTTCATCAGCGTTATGCTTTAGCCCACGGGAAGGGTAATAGGAGATTTGACCCCCATCGCAGACACCTGCCGCACCTGGTTTTGCAAATATTTCAGTATCACTGTGGTTATCCAAATTTTTTGCCAAAACCTAGTGGAAAACGAATTCGTTCGTGTTCCATTTTCAGTTGATTTAACCACAAATACCACGGGCTTTGACGCACAGGAGGTGAAAAGTTCCTAATCGTCAAATGCAAAGTTAATTAAAGTAACAATGACATGTCCAGTTGTACAGGGTATTTCCTCTAACGAACTCGTCAAACACTAGGTTTTTCTTTATTTTTGTGCAACGTTATTTCCTTTCCTATTCGTGGTTTAATTTTACATTTCTACGTTAAATGCAGTAATCGGACACAATGAAAGGAGATGGCATCACAGAATCCTTTTTGTAAGCTGCACCATCTATTCGTAAGGAGGCGGTAGTTACCTGTATAAAATGGGTTATCATATTCACCCGTCCAAAGACTACCTTCTTTCCTCCCAACAACATAAACTTGTATTAATAGCTGTGAACAGTAGACCAGTGCCAGTAGGGCCTTTGATAAGACCTCGGAATGCCCTAGCACTACTGTTTCGGCACTCCAGGAGAAACCGGTTATGTCCAGCACCAAATTTGTTACCTAAGAAAATATTACTGGGTGTGCGCAATTACATGATACACCATAGAATCTGATTCGGACGTACATACAAACACAGGTAAGCTTCTTGACTCTTTTATTTACTGCCTTTTTCTTCTTAATGGCAGGGTATGTTTCGAATTATAACTCGTACGAAATGCTGAGATATTTGCAAAACTCCGGACCACAGGTAAAAGAGTTAAGATTGTGATTATAACTAAGCCTCAGCTTAACTGGGTTCAATGCCGATATTGGCTCCCCAGATCAATCCCGTTGACGGGTGATTGCTGATGGCAAAAAGATTGATAGAACTAGCTGAGGGACGGGCAAAGCGAAGGACCCGGATGGTGTAGTGGTGAAGTGCGCTGCTCCCCGGTAAGGACAACAGCGCGTGTTCGTTGCCCACTGCATACACCTGTGGTCCGGAGTTTTGCAAATATCTCAGCATTTCGTACAGGTAAGCTTCTTCGAATTTTTTTCGATGTCCCAGTCCACATCAAATACATTGTGATTGCAAGAATAAGACCCATAAAACAACAAGAATATGCGATCGAAAAATTTAGACCACGATATCACAATGAAAATAAAGATCACCTTGCGAAAACACGTTATGCTACTTTTCTCCACCGTGCAATATTTGTGAAAAAGGAATGAAATCTATTTGGTGCAGATATCTTTTTGAACTGGATGATATCAGTTCTTTCTTCAAAGGTTTACTTCGTACACAAATTGAAAGTCCTGTCTGTACGCGAAAAGAACGAAGCAAGCTGTAGGCGAAGACTGTGGTCTCAGCAATTCCATAACCCAATGTGACTGTCACAAAAATAGAGGTTCTACGAAAGACTGCGACATGTTGCTGGAAGGTCTCTAACCCAATTAACTTTTCTTGACCCAATGACAAGCACTCAACGTTTACTAACCAATGCTAAGAAGATTCCGAAAAAGATTTGAAAGAAACTCGTAACTAGATTTTATTAGGACATAGATCAAGCAAATGGTCATCAACACCATTTCCAAAAAGGCGTTGTGGGAATGTGTTCATTAGTAACGACACACTCGAAATTCTGAAATATGACAAGGAAAGGATGACTCAAAAAACGTCGACGAAATCTCCACAAGAAAACATTCCGGCTTCTGCTCTATTCGATGAAGACTGAGTGAATAGAAAAAATATGTGCAAAAATCTCTCGAGAATTGTAGAGTCTGCACCAAATTCTACTATGACCATTTAACATCACCGACAATTTGATTCGGGTGATTTAAGCTATATTTAGAAGCTTGGGGCCCGTCACAGCGTTTTGAGCTAATTTCAGCTGATTTTTTACGAGTTAACGAACAGTACTTGTATGCCCTATTTTCAAATACACAAGATATAATGTTTTCAAACAAAGCAAAGTTTTATAAAGACGATCATTGTGCAGATTTCTATGTATACATATGTCTATATATATTTATATATATAAATATATATATATATATATGCATATCTGCAGATACACGATCTTCGTTTTGCTGATTACATCGTTCTCATAGCACCAAACATTAGTCACGCGGAACGAATGCTTGCCGAGCTAGACAAAGCCTGTGGGAGGATTTCCCTGCGACTAAATTTCACAAAAACGATGTTCATGAAGAATGGCTTGGTTACGCACGTTCCATTCACGCTCAATGGAACGAATACCTCCCATTGATTCAGTTAAGTCTATCTAGTTCGCGAAATCAACACGATGATCGACGTAGTTCCACAATTGAGCAGAGGGAAACGAGCAACTTGAAAAACTTTCAAGAGCATCGAGGATGTAGTGAGGAGAGCAAACAACACTCGACTGTGTGCCCAGCTTCTCGGCTCAATGATACTTCCTGTCTTAACGTATGCGTCAGAAACGTAGTTGCTACTTAAGCTGGATGAACGATCACTCAGCGTTATCGAACGCGCAGTCGAAAGGAGGATGCTAGGAGTATCCCGTTTCACATAAGTAAAGGAAGGGATCGGAAGCTCCGACCTGCGTCAACGGCCAAAAATCGAAGATGCCCTTCTACGCGACAAACAGTCGGAGTTAAGGTGGGCCGGATACGTAATGCGTATGAACTTCGAGATGTCAAACGTGCTGCAGGAGGAACACCGACCCGATTGTCAGAGATCTTCACGGAAAGCGTAGAAGAAAGGTGTGGTGCTCAACGCCCCTAGAGCGATCAGAACTCTCTGGACTACTCTTGCACGCCACAGGACAACATGGATGATTTACTGGCGCCCACTCGAGTCGCTCGACGATCAACAGGACTGCAGGTGATACAGGTGATATATATACATGTATATGTATATGTATACATATACATATATAAGGCGCGTGTGGCGCAGTGGTCGGAGGCGCTTTGCTACACACACGTAGAATCGGCTCCCGTGCCCATGGCCCGCCAAGCCTTTCGTCCCTCCGGGGTCGGCAAGTTGGTGTCAGACTCGTCTGGTAGGATAGCAGCACTGTCTCGATACATCAGTAGGCCACCGCGAGTTATCCTAAAGGTTAGTTATGCACTCAGTCACCCCAAACGATACTTAATGCAGTCGAATGCATGGTGCATCTCTCAAGGAATGATCAACGCAGAGGGCTTTATCTTTTTTATATATAAATATATGCCCTCCCAACGGTTTACCGCCTCATCGTGGCTGGAAGATGTTCCTAGGTCCTGGTGTTGGGCAGCGGTGAGCAGCGGAAGATACATCCCCCAGGTAGGGTATCCCAAGATGAAAAGAAGTCCGACGTTGTACGAGGAGGCCAGTTAAGAGTAAACCAATACCAGGATCGACCACCGTCCTCGTATCAAACTCGTATGGTGCCAAATTTCCCTCTGATCCATGAGGACTGCGACTGCCTGTGGACTTGGGGCAGATTCCGACCAGGCTGTCCTCGGGAATCAATGGAAACACAGTGGCTAGAGCAGTAAACTTCCGGAGAATAGAAATTATGGTAGAACCCGCGCAACCAGTGAAGACGGGCCATGCAAGTATCCAAGTAAATATATATATGGATGTACATATATATGTATATATGTATGCATATATACATACAGATATGCATATATATATACATATATATACATACATATACATATATGCGTATATATATGTGTATGCATATAATGTATAACAGTTCGACACATAAATTACAAATTACAGTGAACATTTATTAGCTGGCAATACCTTACAAAATATGAAAAAAAATGCATTCTATTGTATGTAAAACAAAGAAATTTAGTAATGATTTCACAATGATCATAGATGCACAATGAACTTCTCTAAACAGATGGAAAAAGTAGTTGGATAGGCCTGTTACCAACTGTTGGCTGTTGTATCAACCATGTTCGCTCTTTTCCTACTATCAAATAGGATAGGTGGAAACTATACAGAAGTAGTAGCGATTACTAATAGAGAAGTTCGATATCGGTCATTTGTTAAAAGCGTATAAACACGATGCTCAAAGGTAGCGATCAATAGCAGTTTCTAATGAGATTTTGGAATTCTCAATTGTACTCTTGGTATTTCGGACCACTAAAATTTCCCACTGCACGGGCAGAATGTAACATTTAGATCTATTTGCCACGTAAGCGAACATGGTACTATCATAACCTATTTGCGCATCTCGTTATCTTGTGCAGAAGATCGAAATGGAATCTTCTCGAAAAACATGAAGGAAAGGTTGCCTAGAAACCGATATCCGTGTGGGAATTCAGGCTACTACGTAATCCAGCAATAGAAGAACTAAAGTAGATATGCATGAAAGAGTACAGTGACAATAGATTTCTTTTCCTAGTGAAGTTCTTATGAGACAAAATTTTCAGTGCTCAGGAACAATGACGTTAAATCACTTGAGGTGCAGTTCCGATAACAAACTTACCAAGTTTTTAAATAGTTCAGTAAAAGTTTTTGACACATATGGGGTGTTACTTGAATGGTTACATCCCTAATTTACTGATTATAACTGTTCGTTGATTAAATTGTAGGCTGGGCCATGATCACCGATATTTTTCGCAACTGTGTTTTTCCAAGAATTTCGTTATCATCGGGAGGATCACCGAACACGTAGGATTCCGGTGATGACGGCCTATTACTGGTTTCCAGATCTAGCAGATTTTCATTTAGAGGATGGTAAACGGTAAAGGTAGAGCAACACTAGAAATCAACCCGTTAATTCGCCTTTACAAAAGTAATCGATTTGATGAAATTTAACTGTTCAGAAAATATGCAGATATTATAGGATATAACAATGAAAAAGGAAATACAAGACGAGGCATTGCATGTCTACGCATTCTTTGTTATTGGCTTAGATGTAAAATAAAGAGTAAGGCGATAAACAATAGAACTAAGGGTCCATGTGGAGAACAAAGTGATCCCTACCCAATGACCGCCGGACCACGAGTCTGTGTATGCGATTTGTGACCATACTTGAGCCGACAGTATGCATAGGCAGCACTAAAACACTAATATTGTAACATTCACTTCTTTTAAAATAAAACGTTCATAAGCCTGCCTTTTAGCTAATCACTAACGACGATAACTGATCCACCTAACGACTACATTTAAGTTTTCCAAGCATACTGGCTTGTTACTAATCATTATTTCAGAGTCTACTGTATGTCTAGGTCAAAGTGAAAAGTATTTTAGAGTCTACTTACCACTACTCGACCATCCACCGTCACCATTTTGTCGGCATTGCTCGTCCAGTGTAGAGCGTGTGCTGACACTATGTAAGATGTCACGAAAAGTCCACCCATGATCCGACCACAGAGTTCATGTGATTCATCTAACGATACCATAACCTAGATCAACTAGACTCCAAACATTTTTATAGTAGTTTTCTTAGATAGGATTGATACTATATTAATGAAGAAAGCATGCAGCGAAAGTGTTAAAGCTGCCCCTGTGATGCACATGGTCATGGGCTCGATCCCGCGACTCAGACTAACTAAGCTCCAGATCCCTTTGAGGTTGGTAAATTAGTACCAAAGCTGGGTAGAGGCATAAGGATACCGATCTGATCGATCGATATGGTACCTAGGTCATATAGGCCAAATATGCATTATATCATCTCTACACTGTTGTAAATTGAATCGAATACAAGGCGCAGCCCTATGAAAGCGATAGCTCAAGGCCGAACGCTTGACTCCCAACATCAGAATAATTATAGAAACAATAGTTCACCACGTCCTACGGAAATGCATGTCACGTAAACACTTTCCACCGAAATAGAACACCGGTAACAATTACAGTCAGCCATCCAACATTAGTGTCTTAACGATGATGGAACTGAGATTCAGGCTTAGAATCAGTGACAAGCGTTACTATATCCACCACCAGCATTGTAGAGTTTGCAAAACTACGGACCGCGGGTGTATGCGGTGGGGAACGAACGCGCGCTATTGTCCTTACCGGGGAGTAGCGCACTTCACCACCATACCATCCGGGTCCTTCGATTTGCCCGTCCCTCAGCTAGTTCTATCGATCTTTTGCCATCAGCAATCACCCGTCAACGGGATTGATCTGGGGAGCCCAAATCGGCATTGAACCCAGTTAAGCTGAGGTTTAGTTGTAATCACAATCTTAACCCTTTTATTTACTGCCTTTTTCCTTTTTTGAGAGACAAACAAAACAAAGGACCCGGATGGTGTGGTGGTGAAGTGCGCTCGCTACTCCTCGGTAAGGACAATAGCGCGCGTTCGTTCCCCACCGCATACACCCAGTAAATAAAAGGGTTAAGATTGTAGAGTTTATTAAAACGTTACTTGTTTTCATACCTGCTTATGCAACAACCACTTCGGAAACGTCAACCATGCACAGCCTATACAAATTGATGCGATAGTATCCATCTGATAAAGGCAGTTTCCGAACCTATTACCCGGAACTAATGTCGTTCCTGTAATAGCTAAAATGCAACGCAACCTTTTTCAAGACAGAGTGAATCGCACTTGGACTGAAGCTTATGCTAGAAAGAAACTAAACAGGAGATGCTGATCGATTTTTCACAAAGTATGCTTTAAGTATGAAAATGAATAAAAATTATCGGAAGAGAAAGATAAACACGAGCATTTGAAAATCTCCCATTCAAGTGAACTACTTTATTTCATTCTATAACAAAAAATTTTTGTCACACTCGTTTTTATAAAGTCAGATCAAACATCCAGAAGAGATCCAGTACTGGAAGTTATTGAAACCACTCAAACAATTGACGTGTTCATTACTTAATGGATTACGATGATTTTGGTAAAAATATCTTGTGAACTATCATCTTGTCAACTATCACGAAATATCATCTTGTGAACTCGAAAGACCGACTTTCTAAAAACCTCGACATAGACAGTTGATATATTTATTTATGTGATCTTATAAACTGATCTTCTTAAGCTGACGCGAGGTTGGTACAGATTTTCGTTGTCGTTGTTTTTGATGTTATTGATCGATGGCTGACGTTTCGGCGACTTCGCTTTCCTCAGAGCCTGGACGTATATTATATAAGAATACTTTAATTATTCGGTAGAAAAAAGCCAAAGTGTTCTTTCCCTAGAGCGTGGACGTAGTTTATGTTAGAATACTTTTTATTATTCGGTGGAAAAGAATGGTTAAAATATTAATGAAGATCAAACATTCAAATAGACGCCATATTGAACAGAAAGGCCACTCACCGTGATGTTACGTGCGGGACTGGCCCACACGTAGTTCACGTGTAGTCGCGAGCAAGACGCGCCCCGGGGTCAAAATGTCATTTTGAAATAGGGCGCCAGGTCACGTGTGATAGTGAGGCATTCGTCCTTCCGGTTCATCTTTGGATTTCTGAAATTTATCCAAAACGCCTCAAGAGTTTTGCGCGTTGATGTTTTTGATTCCTGCGCTAGGAACCGCACATTCACTTCAAATGATCACCTTTGTGCTTTTGTGCCCTATGCGTACCTAGAGGGGTGTTTAAACGGATTTTAGCTTTCCCATCTAGATTTTCTTTTATGCGGACACAAAGTGGTCTACCCGTTTCCCCGATATATTCCTCGCCGCATGCATTACATGAGATCAAGTATATTATGCCTCAACTCATGCAATCCCCGTCTCTCCCGCTAGGACAGATTTTACAGTTTTCTGAGCTGCGCAAACGATTATAGAGACGGTTTCGAACTAACTGGCGGAGTTTGGTATTGGGTGGGATGTCAATAATCGTTACATAATTTTCAAGACCACTTTTTCTTAAGCACTTTTTAATGGCGTGACTTACTCCATAAGATATGAAGTGAAAAAACATCGAATGACTCCATTATGTGCGTAGTGTTTGGTTCCGCGCGCCTTAGGTGATCCAGAAATATTTTGGTGTTACGTAGATGGGTTGGAATGAATTTTAGTATATATGTAATATAATATACTTGATCTCATGTAATGCACGCGGTGAGGAATATATTGGGGAAACGGATAGACCACTTTGTGTCCGCATAAAAGAACATCTAGATGGAAAAGCTAAAATCCGTTTAAACACCCCTCTAGGTACGCACGGGGCACAAAAGCACAAAGGTGATCATTTGAAGTGAATGTGCGGTTCCTAGCGCAGGAATCAAAAACATCAACGCGCAAAACTCTTGAGGCGTTTTGGATAAATTTCAGAAATCCAAAGATGAACCGGAAGGACGAATGCCTCACTATCACACGTGACCTGGCGCCCTATTTCAAAATGACATTTTGACCCCGGGGCGCGTCTTGCTCGCGACTCCACGTGAACTACGTGTGGGCCAGTCCCGCACGTAACATCACGGTGAGTGGCCTTTCTGTTTAATATGGCGTCTATTTAAAAGTTTGATCTTCATTAATATTTAAACCTTTCTTTTCCACGGAATAATAAAAGTATTCTAATATTAAATACGTCCAGGCTCTGAGGAAGGCGAACTCGCCGAAACGTCAGCCATCGATCAATAACATCAAAAACAACGACAACGACAACGAAGATCTGTACCAACCTCGTGTCAGCTTAAGAAGATCAGTTTATAAGATCACATAAATAAATATATCTTCTTGTGACTCTCCTTTTGTTTACTGCTATTATTCCTTAATAACGTACCAATATGCCAACCGGATGTTACGAGTAGTGTAACATTAGCAACCAAGCCCACAATCAGAACCATTTTCGCAATCTCAAGGTACTGTAAGAAAAATTTTCCCCAGTTGTGAAAAAACTACATGTTTACTATAGACAGCAAACTTACTGCTGGTGGTATCAAATTCGGAGTCATAGAGCGACATTGGAACACAAGCATAAGGTAAATTATACACGGCTGAAAATTAAAATTTAATATCAGAAGCTTATAAATCGTTAATCGAAAAGTCACCGACGATGACACGCAGCAGATAGCATACTGTATGTGTGGTACTGTTGCCCCGACGGAACCGCAAGCTGACAAACGCTCCCGCAATGATCTGACCGCCAATACAGCGCACTAAGTGCCAATGAACACCATCGGATTTCCGCCTCTGTGAACAATGATATAAAATCTGTGTAAAAAGAAAAACCGGATCAAATTGTAATGGATTGATTTGGAAGTGGTAAAGTAGTAAGTGTCAATTCATGACAATTACATAAGATATTCTGCTATCTACAACAAAATGTTTAAGCTCCCATGGAAACGATTTGACTGGAAAGCGAGGAATGACCTGACTGAAGACTACAGTTACAATGTTTAACGTTTTGTTTTCTGCCTTCTATAATTTTCATGGCAGGTTACTAAGCGAAATACAACCACAACGTTGCTGAGATATTTGCAAAACTCTGGACCGCAGGTGTCTATGGTGGGGAACGAACGCGCTATTATCCTTTCCGGGGAGTAACGCGTTCACCACCACACCATGCGGGTCCTTTGTTTCGCACGTCTCTCAGCTATTTCTACAGTTACTATATCAAGTACTTCAAAATGGTAACTGCGCATTAATTATCTTAATAAAAAGCTGTGATCGTATCTCTAATATTACCAGGAAGTTTTTTAATAATAAAAGAAACCGAACTCTGATTCAACAACAACGTAAAATTTGTTTCATTTTTTATTACACGACCCTTCTTTCACATCTACTGTGCGGATCCCAGCATTTCTCACATTCGATTTGTTTCTTTGCATCCATCGTCCTCAAAGGTCTCCTAAATTTTACGTGTGGTTTCGGTTGCTGTTTGGCGATTCTCATTTCATCTTGAATATCGTAGAGTGCTGGTCGAGTCGACTCTCCTTGGAGTTATGAGATAGGCGGGCTTGGGCACTACCACTTGAATTGCAGAGAGTGACTTTTTCCCGGACAAGTCCAGTACCAATTTCCTAACCACACAGAGATGACAGGCTTGGTGACTCCGGAGCGAGGGCGAACCAGTGCCGTGATCGTGAGCATTGGCATCACTACGATCGCGTTATCCGACCCTAACGCACTTTTTAACTGCATAAAAGTATAAACTCCACTTTCTCAGGATTCTTCTGGCTACTTTTTCACTTTTTTTCTTCCGTCCGAATTTTCGTCTATTATAGAGGTTTGCTTTGAGCATAACAACGTTCAAGATTATCACTTCAGTATCCATAAAGTCTTTAAAGCTACGATTACAAATGTTGACGTGAGGTGCAAAAATGTCGACTTATTTTGTAGGTATTCGTCATAAAGAATGTTTGTATTTTCCTCGGATTTTCCTGTCCATCTGTCGTCAACTCTTCTTACTATGTGATCACAAACATTGCACTTTCATTGTGTATTCGTGTTGAACTTGATGATAAGTAGTAGCTTCCTAAGGCTTGATCTGCGAGATTTGACTCGGTGCTTTGTGAGCAGGTTATGTATCAGAAAAAAGTCATTCGAGAGCTCTCGATTGTTACGTAAGTTCTCATAGCAGTTGAGGTATTTAATGGAGATCTCAATTGCACAGCAGAGCTCTAGTAGCACTATTTATTCTAACTGGAAACGCAGAGTTTCGTGCCCAACTTGATTGGTGGGTTCCTCGAGAGGCACAAACACCTCTTCTGCTTCCCCGTTTACTGTGCAGTAATATTAGGAAATGTGTTGCGTGTATTGCAGCTCGATCTATCTTCATTCTCTTGTCATCTTGAGCAAGTACCTGAGATGACTAGACTGAATCCTGCTCATTCGGGTTTTTTTCGACTAGCCAGTTACTACGAAAAATGTTTCATCAAGAGTGTAGATACTTGCCTTTTCTTACTTGGGAATCGTTTTTTCTTTTTTAATTTAAAGAAAACGATGGCACTACAGTAGAGTCATAAACATACCAATTCTTTTTTATAAGGAATTAAACGAATCATAATTTCATTCCTGTGCCGGGTGAAGATTCCCCTCTTAAAGAATGACTATTCACGGTTAACGTTCTCACTTCGGCTTCTCATTCAAAACATCTTTCCTGTAACTCTTCTTCACTTCATTTCATCTTGCGCTAGAGTTCAACGACAAATTTGCGATACAGTGTAGTAGTATATAAATGCGCGTGTAGCGCAGTGGTCGGAGGCGCCCTGCAATACACAGGGATCGACCTCCGCGCCCAAGGCTGACCAAGTCTTTAATCCCTCTGGAGTCGGCAAATTGGTACTAGACTTGTCTGAGAGGTTAGACTGGCTCGATACATCGGTAGGCCGCCGCGACTCATTGTAAAGACCAGATATGCATTCAATCACCTCCAACGGCGATTAATAAAATCAAATACATGGTGCATCCCTCTGAGATTGAAGAACGTCGACAGATTTACTCTTTATACTTTTTATAGTAGTATATTACAATAATTTATAGCTTTGCTACCATCCTATTACTCAGATTGATCCTAGAATGCATTTATTTCGCTTTCATCAGCTAAGGAAGTCCCTGACTAGCAAGTGATGATAAAGATCTTAATTTCACGCCAGTGTAAAAACGGAAGAAGTCACAGGCCAGATGATAGGATCTTGTATGAGTCGACATGAAAAACCATGCATGAATACACGGTAAAATCAACAACACCAACATTTCATAAAGGAATCCGCTCTTCGTGGATAATAACGGCCCTGTAGTTATATATCGTATGTCGGTGTTTACGCGCTTTTCCTCGCCAGATTAACAACTTAAAGCTACGCTTCCCTAACAGAATGCAAAGACTAGAGACGGAAGAGTGTTTTTAGTATGTTGAGTGGAATACAACAAACAGTCTACGTGGTGTCACATGAATTTGCTCATTTTGTTCCAAAAACGAACTATGCAACCAATTTTTTTGATCGTTTCTCACTGAATGTCTCAGTGGCCTACGCTGTAGATGGAAACGCATAAATGGAAAGTCGCTGAGGCTGGTGTATTACAGGGTGACCTTTTCGCTTTTCCTCTAAATGCCGAGGTTACCTTGTTAAAGCGCTGTGAAATCGCCAGTACAGGTGGGTCTCGCAGCTCCGAAAGACGTTAGCTACCTTTCCACTATATCCGCTAACAGTTCTACTGGACAAAGAGATTATCACTACCTTCATTAATGATAGCAAAATGATAATGGCGAAGTTCTACTCCGTAAATAAATCCCACCTCATAAATTAACAGTACTCGAATAGCGATTTCGTTGTAAGCCCCATGTTCAGATCACAGCCATGACCAAGAACTTCTGACTACTATGACACAGCCCGATGAAACGAACTCCATTTTATTAGTGTGAGAACATCAATTGTATGTGTGAACACACCATGATGAAATGCAGGTTTTCGTATGGTTCCTTATAATCATTATGAGAAGCAATGCCTGACACATTGACTTCTTGTCTTAAAGATCGAAATCTTTCCGAAAAGAACGTTGTAGTGTTCTCAAAAGTCATAGACGGAAGATGACTATAGAAAAAGCAAGAATCAAACTGAACAATCGCAGTTCGAAAACATGTGAGTGTAATGCTTAGCATTTAGCGACGTTGAAGAAGAAAGTGTTCCCGTTAGGTTGTTGGATACTTGGTACTTGAACAGCCCGTCATCACTAGTTGCGCAGGCCCCAGCATACTCACTATTTTTCGTAGACTTGCTGGTTAAGCCATCGTGGTTCCCTGGAATCCCGAGGACATCCTGGCCAAAGTCTGCCCCAGATCGTCACCACGACAGGCAGTCACAGCCCTTGTGGATCAGAGGGAGATTTACCACCATGCGACTTTGATATCAAGACGGTGGTGGATCCTGGTATTGGTTTACTCTTAACTAGGCTTCCTAATGGAAACGACGGACTCTTTCTCAGCTTGGCAGACCCTACCGGAAGGACGAATCCCCCGCTGTACATCGCAGTCCGACACCCAGAAACACCCAGTCACAATGAGACGGCAAACCGTTGGGAGGATTCCCGCTATCTACAGGAGTGATGTGGATTAAATAATGGAAAAATAAAATATCCGTCTCGACCACTTTCATTGCTATTCTATGGGCTCAAGACACCACTGAAGACAAATAAACCGAGATTCCTTCTCTTAAGATCTAATTACTGACAACATTATGAAAACTGGCGGATTCCCAGTACCAAATATAGCGGTTAATATCTTTTAAAGTAAAACCCACGGGCTATGACTATTACTAGCAAGGCACACAAACATATGCTTTAAAAAAAATCCAAACGCAGTGAAGGGTGTCGCATTTGGTGATTGTGTAAACAAACTCTTCAACTCTTTTCTTCCTTCTTTCCTTCTTTTACTCATTTCTACCAACAATAAATCCATCAGTCAATTTATTTATTGAACATAGTCCAAGAACACAGTGTAGTTGTACTAACGTGCGTACCAACGACTTTTAGTGAGAAAAGAAACTAACTGAAAAGCACAATTCTAACAATAACTCTTGAGGACCGACTGCCAGTCGTGAACCATATGCGACTATAATCAGCTGTTGCTCTGAAGAAGGCGATACTGCCGAAACGTTAGCTAGTGTTGTATTGTATTGTGTTTTTCTATGGAAGTAAATGTATGCTCCCAGGATCGACTTTCTCTTAACCTCGGCATTGGAATATGAATGTGTCGTTTTCTTGTTCAGCAATCGCGAGGTTTTTAAACAGCATACATTTACTTCCATAGAAAAACACAATACAATACAACACTAGCCGACGTTTCGGCAGTATCGCCTTCTTCAGAGTCTGGAAGGGTATACTGATATACAATCTACTAGGCCAAACGCTTCAATAGCACTTACACAAAGACGAAAGACTCTTTGGTAATTACACGATCAACAACTTCTCGAAAAACCCACCGCTTTTTCGTCACTTCCATTGAGGAAGTTTAGAACAGCTGATTATAGTCGCATGTGGTTGACGACTGCGCCATCCCACATCAAAAATCGATGCGAACGTACGGGATCAGGTCGCGTATGACCTCCGGGCATTCGTCTCTGCTATTCATTGTAGGGTTTTTGGCATTGATCCAAAAAGCCTCTAGGAGTTTTCGCGCTGGTGTTTTGGACTCCTGTGCAAGGATATTGACTTTGCTGTTGCTGTTGCTGTAAATGTATGCTGTTTAAAAACCTCGCGATTGCTGAACAAGAAAACGACACATTCATATTCCAATGCCGAGGTTAATAGAAAGTCGATCCTGGGAACTACCTCGAAACTTTAGTCAGCGTTACGAAAGTCTGATGAGCGCTTGACAGATACGAAACGATCATCGGCCATCCTGTCTAGCACACATACACATTTTAGAATGCTGAGCTCCGTACTTTGGGGTGTAGGGAAATATACCCTCATTCGTACGCTGGCTTTACGACATACATCAAATTTTAAGCATAGATCAACCGATTTTTCCTCATGACAAGTATTGATGAAGAGTGACAACAAAGGCAGGGCTGAATTTAAGAAGATACAAGTGCTCTAGGAAATAGAAGACGCCCTTATAGCTTAACAGTTGTATATGAGTGATGAGTGCAATCAAGACGATATGCATTCATTTCAACACAGGGTTGCCAGGAAATAGTTGAGCTTTTTACGTTTAGAGAAACACATTTCACCTCATAGTGAAGTTTACTAGTTACAATGAAAACCATAGCATCGAGAGATCTTAACCGACACACAAATTTTTGTCATTCTATAGCGATGAGAAGAATCTGATTCGTCGGAGCCCATAATACCTACTCCGCCCGGTTTTTTTTCCTTTTTCGTAGATGTTATATTTCAAGCATGGAAGGGATTGAACGGTTAGGATATCCTAGAACACGATGCTGCGGTTCTCCAAAAAACAGCTGATATTTGCACATGCTGCATAAATTTTACACAAATTTAAAAATAAAAAAAACTCTTTGGAAAAGTTACACTCTTAAAGTGATATGTCAAAATGTCTTCTGTATTTCTCTCAACTCCTCAAATTCTCGAGTATTCCAATTTGGAAAAAACTGATTATCGGAAAACCTGATTTGTTGTAATGTGGGAACGATGACGTGGTTAGTACTTATTAAGAACAAAACAAAGCAGTGCACCTACATAGAGAACGATCCCTATCGAAGGAAACAAATGGTGGGTTCCTACACTTCCTGAGAACGGGTTAACAACTTACCCTATAAATAGCTACAAAACGAGCCTACAACGACGCTTTCTATCTGAAACACTGGAATCAATTCTTCTTAATTGGCGCAATGTGGGCAACACTACTCACGTCAGAAAAGCAGCTCTTGGATTACTACAGTGGAAATGAAGTGAGGAACAATTTCGTCCACTACTAATACTTCTCGAAGACACAGAAGAATATAAGGCTGCATGTGTAACTAAAAATTTCACTATCTGGCCTCCCCTCTACTAGGACAATGTGCATTTCATGACCACCTGAAGAGCCAGCAGTCTTCTCGCAATCATCGATCTAGAGGTCAAGAAAAGCACGAGTATTGGCTATAAAACACAAATCTAGGTGTTTTCCGATAATGTGATCGAAGAGGAAATATAAAAGATGGAATGATTCACGGCGTTTATTCCTAAAGTAGAACGTGCAACTATTTTGCATGAGTCAGCGAACTGGTGGGAGGTCGGACCAAGTCCATGACCTTTCGTTACGATGTGACACACATATAGAAAAACCTCACATGTTACCTCTAAATTGCTAATCTACCTTGACACTGTAACACAATCCATAAATTTTTATTGTAATGCAGGACAAATACAAATGCAACCACTTCATTGATAACGAAGAAGATGACCACTTTAGTTCCTCGTTAGAGAAGAACCAACACTACCATCGTATGCCATATAATCGATAAGTGGAAGGTCATGAGCACAAAAAGAATAGAAATCAAGCTTTACTCGAACATTAGGGTCAAAACGAATCAGAAACGTTTTCGGTAAGAGGACACGCCATTGGACATTGTGAACCCTTTCAACGGTCACTTTCTCATGGTGATAAATTTATCCACTAGAACTCTCATCGTTCAGGTGTTCCCATTGTAAACCTCAAAAACGTCTTTGAATGCGCACTCTATCAATTTTGAAGACCATATCAAATGAGAACGAGACATTTTTTGATTTCGGGTAAAGAGTGCTTTTAAAAAAAGTCAAACAAATAACGGTGAAAGAGAGATGTGATATCATAAATGTAAGATAACTCACGAAGACGAAATCAGCGATAAGATGAGGTGCGATGAATAAGACTATACCCACGACAACCGAGATGAGTCCGTCGACGGTCAGCACACGGCTGCGCATCGTCACCGAATGTAACTGAATTGATAGACGACGGACAGCGACGCGGTCGGCGACGCGATTGCGCACACCACTATCCGGACACTCGGGAACTCCTCATCTCCACTCCACCACACAGAGGTCAACATCATCGTGTCCGGTGTTTTCGTGCTGTTCTCCGACAACGAACTTAGTCTAGTGAATTGGTGTCAGTCTTACAGCGTTCTTATTAGTCCGCCGTCTGTCGTCCGTCGTCATCTCAGCGACACCATCTTCAGATCTCTCGGCTTCATTCTCGTGTCCATCCTATTACATTGTTTTCAATATGTTTTATGTATTATACGCTATTTTAGAAACCGATTTCAATTAAACTTTGATGACTATAGTCAATAATTTTCCATATGTTTCAGTTGACACCAGGTTCATATAAAAGAAGTCAGTTCGGCTAACGTTTCGGTACTCTCGCTTTCTCCACAACCGCGTTGATCAGAATCGATGGTCCGCAGTTGCTCCTTCTTTCGATATGCGCTTTCGTGATAGCATGTCGAAGCCGTTGGAGGCATCACCACTGGAATGGGGGAAGGGGGTTACTTGACTCCTACTGAGTGCTTTCATGAAATGCAAGCTACTGAAATGTTTGACGAATTGCTCGTTCTGCAATCATTAAATATATGGGTTTTGACTTTTTTGTGACTTTTTCTCTTGAATACCTACAAGCGGAATAAGATTGTCACTGCGAAAAAATGTGTTCAGTGAAACATCTATTTGTTAACCAGTAAGGAAATCAGTGTGAGTGTAAACGTTCTCCTATTCTTTCACTATATGCAGTGCCCGGGTGTAGAGGTGCAGGGTGAGAGCTTCCTTATGAAAAGACTTCGTGCTGAGTAAGACATCTAGTAGGAAACCAGCAAGAAGAATCAGTACGAGTGTAAATGTCCTCTTGTCCTTCTACTATGAATTGAACGCCGCAATGAAGACTTTTTTTGTATGGGATACTGTAGGTTCTGTTGCTGGTAGTTATTGCGCAAGAAAAAGAAGATGGAATAGAGAAAAACTCTTGAAAAGAACAGAATATAAAAACTATGTAGCGAAACACTAGTGCTTCTCATCCTATGGAAGACACTACAAAGTTGTCAAACCCAAACCCTCAATTCGCATTTTGATCGCATCCTTACTATTATCACTGAGCATAAAAGGTCCTGACTTTATGATTGAATAAGCCTTGGCTGTGTTCGTAAAAATTAGGCCACTTTCGCGGATGAGCATCTCTTGGGCAAACTCTCCTCAGCTCGACATGAAAGCCTTTATTCATTTTCCATAAAGTGATACTAGTTGTCATCTTTGCAAATGTTTTTTTTTTCTTTTGAATATGTTTTAATGCTCTGGTATTGAAGGGAAACTTGGCAGTCTTGGTGGTTTATAATCTTAGAAGTGCTAGTGATCGCCTTGATGACCATGACACCGTGACCATCATGATAACCTTTCATCGGTATGACGAGTACATGACATTGTGTATTTGTGCTAATCCAATAGAAATGGGATGTCCTATTATTCTTTATTTTTACTGTTGACATCCTGGTCAGAATGTCTAATTCCTTTTTATTTTTTATAAATCTTTCCTCCTGCAAGGAAACTTAGCTAAAAAGGGAAATGGTTAAAGGCGTGACCCTTTCAAAGAAGAAAAAAAAGAACTAATCAAAGATCATACAATTATGACACGCATATTCAGTGATGAATGTCTAAAAAACGCCTTCAGCAAGAAAGAAAAGAAAACTCAGATGTGGTATCTTCCAACGTATAGACATGTGTCACACAACAAGGTTCCACTTCACTTGCATAATAACAACACTTAGAAAAACAGACTACCCGTATTTCAGTAGGAAGGCATCGGAACGTTCTAAAATAACATAGTCCAAAAAAAGTACATTAGAGAGGTAACAACATTCTACTATTTATATTAATCGTTCTTCGGGTGGTAGCTTAACCAAGGAGTTCATCTGAAATTGAATACGATGAAAATACGAGGAACCAGTTGGTCGACAAGCGATTTGCCACAAGGACCATTGACTTGGGCATAATTGGTCGGCAAATCGACGAAGCCAGAAATTAGCTATCATGCGAGCAATAAGATTAGAAGTATCATAGATCCAGCTTAGCTATTATTTTTCTATCTTCTAGTGGAACTAATTTTAGAAACTTGGAAAATTTTTTCCCACCTGAAGTCGAGTACCATTTTGTTCTTGATAACTAGGACTATAGTGTCCATGAAGCGCACGTTTGCCTCGAAAGACAAACACCAACAGGACACAACCAAGTATGGCAAGTACAGTTAGTACAGCTGCCATCGGCCCAAGTATATAGCTTAGTGCCAGCATCTTTCGCTCAGATACCTGAAGGGCCACTTCATTCAAGTTCTCAAAACAAAAAACTAAATGCCAACGAATAGGATTCAGAGTAGTTTATAAATACCTGCGTAATGCACTGTGGGCCAGTATATCCCCAATGACACTTGCATTCGTGCACAGAAGTCTCCCGACCAGCACTGTCTTTCTACAACAAGAATGGGGAAATCAGTAACGTAAGTTTCACCGAAAGCATTACTTCTATAGAACAAGCCTCAACTGAAGCATGCTACCCAGATTTTGGTCTGTTAAATCGTCGTCAAGCGGCTGGTCAACAAATTGCAGAGTTCGCTACAATCATAGCAATCATTCGTGCCTGAACAATCCAGATCGCAAGGCAGAAAATTTTCTTCCGATCCATAAGTGTCGGTCACTCTTTGTAGTGACTCTTGAGAATATCCTAGAGCGACTGTCTCCGATTACCATTGTAAGCAACGCTCAACTAGCATTCTATAAATGCAGGGACCGGCAGAACATGTGGACATGGTTTATCTGGTGCTAGATGTTCTTAGCTGAATATTCTTGTACTGAACCAGCCGTAAATGTTATCGCGATAATGGATTTGTACTAAATTCGATATGTAAACAATGTATTTAAATACAACGCGAATCTAGTAACGAAGCCCTGCAGTGCACAAAAAGGAACTAGAATGGACTCATCTCAGTTTTTGTTTCAAAATCTCTAATACAAAGCTACTGTCCACAACACTCAACATCATGGTTATCGACAACCCGCGTCACATACGCAAATCTAGTAGCTTATCACTAGTTTTCCATCTCACATACCTCCCGCAAACACTAGCTAGTGAAAACAATTTGGCATTCCTCGCACAGAATCAAACAATGAGTGCTGCCGATTGTATCTACTTTCTTAGACAAGTAGTTGACCCGCGTTCATATGTTATGTGAATCCCAAGCACTTCTTCCATTCGTTTTTTTCTGTCTTAGAACCGTCATCCATCAGAAGATCAGGTTATGGTGCGAATTCGTATGTAAGTTGATGATCCGTCTTCTGTCTTCAATAACGAACTGAATGCCTGCCGAACATGACATCCGGTGCACGATAACACATGCTCTCTCAACGGCAGCGATTGATCGACAAGCCGCTCAATGGCGATGTAGCAAACGATTCCTACTAGTAACACATTTGTCTTGTAGGAAAATAATTTCCTAGCATGCTATTACGCTCGTTGCTCGTACGGTGGTTACAATAATTCTCGAACGTGGATATAATTTATCTCACCATGACCGATGGATTTATACAAACACCATGCACACATGTATGCGTGGTTCGATTAAATGCATCAGGCCAACATGGATCCCTTACCGTACAACGTGAGCCGATAAAACCTAGGGAAAAAAATACAATGGAACAAGAAAGTAAGAGAAAAGAGCAAAATAAGAGAGTGTGTCAAACACAAACCATTCTCACAGTCGCATCTATAACCACCCTGCGTATTCGTACATTGACCGTTCACGCAATTCGAGGCAACGGTGCATTCATTGATATCTATCGTACAATTTTTTCCTGTAATTTCACATAAACCAACATCTGAAAAGTTTGCAAAAACTAGACAGAGTTTAAATATAGGGAAAACCTACCCGTAAATCCAGTGCCATCACAAATGCAGTCATAATCGGCGACACGATCACGACATATCGCACCATTCGAGCAGAATCCCAGCTGACATTCATCAATGTCGGTCTCACAATCTACACCTGAAACACGACAATACTTTATTAAAGTGATCTACATAACTTGATAAGGTTGTGTTTGGCGCAGAGATTAGAAGTGCTTTTCAAAACAGTCCGGTTGACTCGATACGAGCCTCAGGCTAAGCAAACCCCCTCTCACTTCAGTGTCAGCAAATTGACAACAGCATTGTCTGGCAAGATAGAAACACTGAGCTAATAAATGGTGGGCTACTGCGAACCATTTTATGGGTCAAGTACGTAATCAATCTCCTATGCGATGCTACGAGTGGAAATGAGTTTATGACACATCACTAAGAGTTTTATCAACCTCGAACGTCCTATGCTTTATTCCTTCCGAAATCACTAGATCATTTTTATAGCAACACGTAGAACTAAACAAAAACCTAATCTCTGAAAGAGGGTAAAAATTTATTGGCGACATTCTCCATTATCTTAATCTCAACCAAGGAAGAACTCACCTGTAAAACCAGTTATACAATGACATTTATATTGACCAATAAGTGATTCGCATAATCCTCCATTCAGACACGGATTTTTAATGCAATAATCTATCCGTACCTAAAAATTAAAGAACTAGAAAAATGAAATATACGTTAAATAAAATTGGTTACAAATGTCTAACACAACATCGTCCATTAATAGTTCATCGTTCATTACGATATGATCAAACCTCGCATCTTTCTCCTTCATAACCTGTTGGGCAGCTGCAGGAATGTGTTTGCTCTGACAGCTGGATGCATTCACCTCGTTCACAAGGTTGTTTGAGGCACGAGCCGAGCACCTCGCAACGATAACCTGAACAATGAACAAATCCATTGTAAAACGACTTTCATTTAACCTCGGTATAAACGATCAACGCACTCTACTATTTCATTGATAAGGTAACACAAAGTTGCTACCAATATTTATTCGGCCACCGTTTCGACGTCTTCCTCTTCATCAGAGCCGATGAACAAAATTAATGTCCACAGCTGTTCGTCTTCTTGATGTGTACAACAACTCGGATCATCGGCTCTAATGAAGATGATGACGTCAGAACGGTAGCCGAATATTGGTAATAATCTCGTGTTAGCTTATCAATAAAACAAGGTAAAAATTAACACGCTATTTAAACAAAAATCGTTAAGGTCTCGATTACAGGTAATTTTATTCTCGTTGACCGAAAAACAACGATCAATGTTATTTTACGCTTTACTCAAGAACAAGCTGACGTTCCGGCGGATTTCGCCTTCATCAGACCTTCGAAAGGTCACGTTGACCGCAATCTACCCACCTAAACACTTCCAGGAATAACCAAATAGAGAAAATGCTAAACCAAGATTCTTCGGCTTAGCATCAATGTGATTCAAATCTTGGTTTAGCATTAATGTGATTTAAATCTTTTCTTGTTTTTACTTTTTTCTGTCTGGTTATGGAAGTTTTTGGCTGATTGCGGATTATGCGGATGGGAGATGGCGGAGTGGATTGCGGACAACTTGGCCTCTTCAGGCTCTGAGAAAGGCGAAATCCGTCGAAACGTCAGTTTGTTTTTGAATAAAGAATAAAATAACACGTTTTCTTAGTGTCCGGAGATGGCACCCTACTAGAAAGGCCTCTATGGATATGTGCAACTCAATGTTTGGAGGTGCTCTGCAATACACACATGGTCATTAGTTCTACCTCGCGTCTAGAGGTCTTCTCTCTAGGCTGGGAAATTGTCACCAGTCTTATCTGCGAAAACAAAAACATTAGCTTGATAATGTTTAACGTTTTGTTTTCTGCCTTCTATAATTTTCATGGCAGGTTACTAAGTAAGCGAAATACAACCACAACGTTGCTGAGATATTTGCAAAACTCTGGACCGCAGGTGTCTATGGTGGGGAACGAACGCGCTATTGTCCTTTCCGGGGAGTAACGCGTTCACCACCACGCCATGCGGGTCCTTTGTTTCGCACGTCTCTCAGCTATACCCCGCTGACGGGTGATTGCTGTGGCAAAAAGATCGATAGAAATAGCTGAGAGACGTGCGAAACAAAGGACCCGCATGGTGTGGTGGTGAACGCGTTACTCCCCGGAAAGGACAATAGCGCGTTCGTTCCCCACCATAGACACCTGCGGTCCAGAGTTTTGCAAATATCTCAGCAACGTTGTGGTTGTATTAGCTTGATACTTCGAAAGGCCACTAGAGACATTTTCCTGACTAGTTATATCAACAATAACTTTCACGTATTAGGAATTCAATCACTTCTATGATGCTAACCAGTCGAATATATGCCATCTCCCTCTAGTAGTGATCAAATCAACATCTACACCTTATTCTTAATTATTTCGGAAGAACTGTCTTAACTATCACACCGATGTACCTCAATAATTTCCTTATGTAGAAAGAACGTTATCTACCTAAGTAATATTTTCTACAATGACACTGGAATCCTTCTGCTGTTGTCTCACAAATGCCATCGTTTTCACACGGTATAGTCATGCATTCATCAATCAGTTGATTGCACTCTCGACCTCTCCAACGCTAAAACTGTGATCCAGAGCAAGAAAAAAAAGGCAAACTACTTTAACTTTAACCAATGATTTTACTTTGTCACACGTGCACATGGTTGCATTCCATACAGGCGTACAACGTCCTCGAGCATTACATGACGACGAAGTGCACAAGTCGGTAATAGAAGAACAGGTCTTACCAAAGTAACCTAAAGTCTATGATTAACAAAATAAAAGAACGACTGATTAACATGGACTACTTACCTTCGTCACACTTACAGCTAAATCCATCCGAATCCGATTCACAGTATCCATGAATACATGGTTTATTCCTACATGGATCTATTTTCTCCTCGCAGAACTCACCAACAAATCCAGCCATGCATAAGCATTTACCTTTGTCATCGTTCTACGGAGTGACATTAAAAATAATGTGAAATGAAAAACGCTGCTTTCTAGATATTTTTCTAGAAGTATCACTCACAACTTTTCTGCATGTTCCATTGTTTTTGCATGTCCCCTCAGAACACCAAGCTTCATCCTAGAAATGAAGGATTGGTAGCGTTACCTTATTTATTGACAAGTATGATAACATGATGGGCTCATGTGGCCAAGTGGTCGCTCTGCAACATACATGGGATCGATTCACGCGCCCTTGGCTCACCAAGCTTTCCATCCTTCCGGGATCGGCAAGGGAGCATAGCAGCACTGGCTCGATACATCGGTAGGCCACCGCGAGTCATTGTAAAGGACAGATATGCATTCAATCACCTCCAAGCGATGCTTAATAAAATCGAATGCAGGGCGCGTCCCACAGGGATTGATCAACGCCGAGAGCTTTATCCCTTTTATAAAAACACGGAACGATTTTTCACACAAAGACTTTATGCAAAAATTTTCTTTGTCTCGAAGTGGAATTATTTTTGAAGTAATCTTATTTGCGGGATGTCTTTAACCAACTTGAAAAATTTTTCCTTTCTTACCCACTCACAATAAATTCCTCAGTTTTTTGATCACTTTCTAATTTTTGTGTAGTCATTTTCAGTAACATGCGCGCCGATCATGGATGAAATTAGTAGCGAATGGGCTTCAAAATTCGGAAGGAATAAAAAATTTGGCCTGATGAAGCAATGCGACTGTGCGTGAGGCCTTACCAATTTTGTTGCTATTGATCACTAGATTCAAGTTTCAGCGCGCTGCTTAGCACTGGAAATGAGTGAACGACACCCGAGTCGGGTGTTCCCTTCCCCAAAAATGCAAATGTATATGTTTAGCACAGTGTACCTTAATATCGCAAAATTTTCCTGACCATCCTTTTCTACACTCGCACATGAAGTTTCCATTTGAGCTTTCGCACAATCCACCATTTCTACATGGTAGTTCTGCACAAAAGTCCAATTCCACATCACAATCCGGTCCAGTGTACCCAGGATCACAATAGCACCTCAAAAAGGACGGTTGTCAAGAGAAAGTAGGCATTTTTCTGTCACTAAGATACTCTAGCGATACCGTGCAACCCCGATTCCATCGAAACAATATCCTCTTCCACAGTTAGTCCTTGAACACTCGTTAATGTTTATCTCACAGTACTCTCCCTCGAATCCTGGAGGACATTCACAAGCGAATGCATTCCATAGGTCACGACATTCTCCACGGACGCATGGTGAAGCCTCACCACACTGTGGTGACGATAGGCATGATGTGACCAACTATAAATCATATACCATCTACAGCAGGATAAGCAAATGCACAAACTTTAATCCTTTTTACCCTATAACGTTTGCCAATTTTCCAGAGCGTTACGTTTATTGGCTGCTCTATCTCATCGTTTCTGTAGAATGACAATTCTGGTAGATCGCCGACTGTAACGTGTTTGAGGCAACCGTCAAATGAAGAGTCATTCAGCGCTCCAAATATCAACGATGCAGACGAGATGCGAGTAGGAACTTGTACCGATGGTGACAAACCTATTAAATGAGAAATAGAAATGCATTATTACACGTTGTACAAGTTCGAAAATAACAACCGTAGCTAGCAGAGTCCACATAAAAAACATTTGTATCTAGTGCTATCGTATGCCATTGACCATCGGCTATATTTTTCCGAATAAGAAGTGGATTTTCGCCAGTGAACAATGGCTGACCGTTTGTTAAAGACAATTTCATCGTTCCATTCTTAGAATCCTAGAAAGACGATAAGACATTTCAGGAATGAGTGTGCATTTCAAATACACTAGAATTAAATAAACCTACGATGGTCAGAATGTGGCCAGTTCGTGAATGGGTTCTTATAGTTAACTTAAAGCTTGCCGTGGTTTCCACTGGTCCAGACATTTCAAACGCCATCAAACTGTCCGCCTTCATAGTCACGGGAGAAGTGCCTAAACGTTCATATACCATAAAAGTTGACTGAAAGCAACTGCCCATTCTAAAATACTTGTAGTTTTCTTGTATGTTGCAATACTTTCCACAATTTTTTGAACATTCTTTAATGTATTGGAATTAAATCCATATTGTTCTTTTTTTCAGACCGATAATTTTGATACTCCCGTTCATAAATGGCTGAATTCCAACCTCTCTGGGAGATGGATGGCTCGTCATCCGAATGAGTGGCTAGCCAGAGGAGCTGACTTAGCACTCAGCAATCTTTTTCTTAGTTGGTTACAGGAGAAAGTCTACTTTATAAAACCAACCACTTTCGAAAAACACAGAGAACGGAAACAAGAAGGTGTATCTTCCACCTCTCAAGAGTTCCTGGTGAAATAAGTTGATGTGGTTACCGGCGAATTCAAAAGTCGGTGATGAATGCTGATACCCATGCTTAATACTTGATACTTGAACGGCCCGTCCTCACTAGTTGTGCGGGCCCCAGCATAGTCACCATTTTTCGGAGATTCTCTGGTTAAGCCACTGTGGTTTCCTGGAATCCTGTGGACAGCCTGGCCAAAGTCTGCCCCAGGTAGCGTCACCACGACAGGCAGTCGCAGCCCTTGTGGACCAGAGGAAAATTTGCCACCATACGACTTTGATACCTGGACGATGGTGGATCCTAGTATTGGTTTACTCTTAGCAAGACTTCCTGAGGGAAGCGCCGGACTCCCTCTCAGCTTAAGAGACCCTGCCGGGGGTGGTGTGAGGACGAATACTCCGCTGTACATCGCAGTCCGACACCCAGGAAAATCTCCCAGATACGATGAGGCGGTGAACCGTTGGGAGGAATGTCCATATCGAATTTTAAACAAAATTTTATGCCGTATACCTTCTTTTCATATTCATCCATCGCAGAAAGTTAAAAAAAGCCTTTGTAAAATAGGAAATGTTTTTTAAAAATCCTGAAATAGGGGTTCTTTTCCAATCACCCTACAGAATTAAAAAACCTAAGGCTGAAAAAATGGATTTCAGTAGACCAACGAAAAAACTTACAGATATAACCGTCACCAACGTTCTTACATTCACCATTCTCTGGACAAGGAGAATTAAAGCAGTGATCTTTACGTTCACATCGTTTGCCGTAAAATCCGTTTTTGCAATTACAGTCGAAGTCGTTGAATGTGTTATGACATGTACCATGGACACATTGCTCAGAAATGCCACAAATGTCGTCGGAAATAGATCCCTATAAGAACCTATAGATTATTAAACATTATTCAAAAATGAATGAAGGTTAAACGGAGTTGCACGCGGTATTATTCAGCAAGGAACTGGTTTTTCCGTAGATAAGGTCCGTTAACTCATTCGATTCGGAGGAGACAGGCCACTAGAAGGTATAAGTGACAAATCATTGGCAGTTTTCACCCATGTCAATATTATCACCGTTCATCGTCAGCCACCACCTACATTCGCAGAGCAGCCTTTTGGTCGTGAACCATGCAACTAACCTCCAAAATATTTTCCAGATACCCAACTGAACCGAATTGATCGACAGCGAAATTCGATGGCTTGTGCAAAACGACAGACTTCCCATTTATTCTAATGTCTTGGAGTGATCCTGCATATAAAGTACTAACATAATTTTCCTAAAAGTTTGTTTTCATGGGCTTTCCCACCTTTGAAGTCGACGTGGGTTAAAAATGCATCTTTTGTGACGTTTCGACTGATCCCAAGTTGAAGTTTCTCGACGAATAATGGGTGATCAAACCGCGATTGTATAGTTCCCTCAGAATCAAGCACGTCGTCAATGTCGAGCTGAAAAGTAATGTATGAAAATAATGGTTGCTTGCAACAACCGGTATGATACGCCAACAGTAAGATCCACATTTCTGGGAAACAGAGCTAGAAGGCAGTTAAGCTCAGGTCTTCAATTCATTATCACTAACGTTCGTACAATAACCTACTTTCACATGCCGTCTTTCTCGACGTATACACACAACATGATCTTTGTTATCATCAACTTTCTTGTGTGACTGCAGTTCATACACAGAGTTTCCTCCTGCACGAGAGCGAACTATAAATAAGAAACCTTCTTTGTCAAATTAATTTGAACTTCAAGTAGTGCAGAAAAATTCACTAACCCAATAAATACCCATTCATCATCGACAGTGAAATAAACGTGGCCACCTCATCTCCAGCTTCGCCAAGATAAAGAACTGTACCATTTGGTCGATTTGACCGTAGAATCAATTGAACTGTTGTGGAAAAGCGCAATGAATGCGAAGTTTCGGAAGGAATACTAAAAGGACAGTTGGCTGTGATAGCAAATTCGGGTTTACTGTAAACTAAGAAAGTAGGCGCACACTATTTCGACAAATGATGTCTGATTATTATGGCCAAATGTGCTCGGAGGAAGTGAATTCCTGCAGTGCGGAGGAAGAAATGGAGGTGCACATAAGCATGAAGCATGTGTCCACAGGTCCACGCAATGTCCTCCGTTCATACATGGATTTCTTGAACATTGTGAAATGTACTTGCAATCTGCAGAGATACGTAAGTCAATGTCCAGGTCTTTATGTAATTTTTTAAACAAGTAACAAATAAAAACTTGTACACACGTTATTATATGAAAAAACGAACCGTACGTGATGCCGGTGCTACGACTGGAACTTGCAAGGTCAATAACACTACCACCAATGTTCACATCCGCGATACATCCAACCAAGTACTCGGATTCTGAGACTTTTCCGAATCGCGTCGCAAAAACATCAAAAAGCGTGGTAAAAGGAAGAGAATGCAATATCAATTGATATCCTTCCTCGTTTACTACGGAAATAATTACACCCTAAACGATTTAATAACAAAATAACTGAAACGTAATCAGTTACTTCAATGATGCTGAGATATTTGCAAAACTCCGGACCGCAGGTGTCTGCGGTGGGGAACGAACGCGCTATTGTCCTTTCCGGTGAGTAACGCGTTCATCACCACACCATGTGGGTCCTTCGTTTCGCCCGTCTCTCAGCTAGTTCTATCGACCTCTGCTATCAGCAATAGCTCGTAATCAATTACGTTCCACGTACCATTTCACTTTTCTCCAACCGTACAGTGTACCATGTACCATCATTAATAGCAAATGGAATCAATTTGTTGTACTTTGTTCCTTGAAATGTCATTACGAATTGACCCTCATCCAAAGCAACCGAGAATAACTTTTGTCCAAAAATATTCTCGCCGGATACTATATGAACTGATGGTACAGTTGTTCGCATGGCAAATGTGATAGTAAATGGCAAATGGACAGAAGAAGAGCTAAAATACTTCAAATATTCGAACAAAGTCGTTCTTGGGATTGTAATTATCAAAAACGTCGAACACCATGACTAAGTAACTTACCCTATCATAACGTTTGGACTTTGATGAATAAATAAACTATTTTTATCAAATGACACGGAAGTTGACAGCTGACACTTGGTTCCACTCCGTCCAACAGGACAAACACATGTGGTTCGAACTTCACCGAACGAGATGTGTGGTTGACACATAAGTGGCCGAGAACATGTGGTAGAGTCACATGGCTATAAGAGAACATTAAAATAACTTTATAATAATAGGTAACCAGCTACATTTTTACGTCGCCACGCTGGTCGCATCGAGGTCCTTGATATCCTCGTTGACAGATGCATAGTGACGACCCCGATGACGACTCAACACATTTGTCTGAGTGAACGCACTCAGTGCATGAAATCTGAATGGAGGAACACAGTTTATGGGGGGTAAATGAGCAGTATTAAAAAGTTGTGGATATACATTTAGGTTAAGAAGAAGGTTCCCCCCATAGGCCCCTTACCACTACATTATTTTCTCTACGTTATTTCATTAAGCCATTGAAAATGGATTTGATCTGGATAACCCCATACATTTGATATTCTACGGACGGATTTGGCACTTGCTGAACCAATCCGAAAATATAAAGAAATGGCTGAAATGTTTAACTTCCCACAGATGGATCCGTTACTAAGCGAATGACTCCGGAAGCTCTTGTTAGTGCAAACTAGGATATTCGTACTTTAAAGAGAACTCCTTTCCATGAACTGCACCATAGGCACTTCTCCATGTTAAGGACCTTTCACAACGAGCATTGTTCACTCTTATAAATTAAACTCCATTTTAATTTGAAAATTTATCTAAAATCCTACTTGATCTGGACGAAGAGGCCTCGGCGGCACAACGACGATAGAAAGGGATGTTGAAGGGATTTCCACTGTCGTTGTTGGTAACCGAGTAACTTCCTCTACCGAGAATTCCCACATAGATGGCTAAATCGTATAAAGTATTTTTCTTCTTTATCCTTAAGTTCAAAAGTGAAGTCATTACCGGGTTCTCACAAAAGTTTCCATGGAAGCCATTTACACAATCACATACGAATCCACCTTCCATAGGTTCTAAAGAATCATTGAAAAAGCTATTTCTAGGAAAAACTACTGTGGAATTTCATCTAGCAACGGTTTATTATTTAAGGTGCAATCAGTTTTTTTTATGTTATTTGACCTTCTCTCATTGCAATACGATTTATTACTCTTCATGTTACTTTTGAAATACACTGCTTTCATGTCAGCGCTTTTTTCTTTACGTTTTCACCAATTTCACGATCTAATAAGTTAAAAAAATGCTAGCACTCGTAGTTGCACTAGTAAACATATCTAATATTAAAGCTCTAACGGACAGCTTACCTCCTACAGATTGGCAGACGCCGTCGTTTTCACATGGATTTGGAATACAAGAAGCAGTCTCGTGATTAGAACAGTTAACACCACCAAATCCTAGCTGACACTCACATGTTGCAACGATTCCATCGGCATGACAAATCCCTGGAATATATATTTACTTGAGTCATGCAAGGCAGTGGTTCGAGGAGTCCTGTACTGCACATGGTCACTGACTTGACTTTGCACCACATGCCAACCAAGCAACCACCCTTCTAGAGTAGGCAAATTGGTACCACGCTCATATGGGCGACGAACAAGAACGCCAACCTGATACGTCAATACACTACCGCAATTCACTGTATGCATTCCATTACCTTTACGATGCTTAATAGAAACAGATTCCAAAAGCATCGCTGACGAACTGATTAACGATGGACATCTTACCACTTGACCTTCGTAACAGCTACCAAGATAAGCATATCAGTGTCAGTTTCCTGAGAGATCGGATGCGTCTTAACTACTTGCTAAAAGAGTATATAGATGTACAGAGAGGGTAAAACCGATAAAATGTCCATCGTTGATCACTTCTTCAAGAATGCGCCATATAGTCGACTCCATTCGTAGCATCGTAGGTGGCTTAAACGCCCACTTGACCTTTACAGTGACTTGAACAGACCTATTGATCTATTAATTCAGTCTTTTCATTCCGTAAAAATAATTTGGTTCCAATATACCGAGCCCAAAGAAATGCAGAGCTTGTTCCTATGAAGTAAACACAATCCTATTCAATGTATTCTGCATTTCACCTCCATTTAAACAAGGATTTGAACTGCAGGGTCCTGATGAAGGTATCACTGTACTCCGCTCACAGTGACGACCGGTGAAATTTGAGGCACATTCACAGTGATTATCTGACAATCCGCGAACACAGCGACCTTCATTCAAACATGGATCGCCTGAAAGAGGAAATGATGATCGCCACTGTAGAATCCTGTTCACTTATCACTAATCATCTAACCATCAACAAGGCATTTCATTATCTCTTCACATGTTTCCCCCCCAAACTCTGGTGAGCAATAACATCGAAATCCATTAGGGACGTTTTGACATATTCCGCCGTTCCGACAAGGGTGTGTGTCACAACCGATCGCCAAACTTTCATTACATCTTGGACCCTGAAAATCGGAGGTTTTATTGCAAACTAGCTCACTATTGACTAAACGTTTTCAATATATGTTTCAGAATTTCATATTTTGGTGATGTATCCCAACTTTATAATGCATCGCTCACCGTTAGTCCTTTTGGACATGTACATGTTTGACTACCATTCAGTAGCAAACATTCATGCATAGGACTAGGACATTTACATATCGAAGGCGTCTTCTGAAATGAAACACAGTTTAAAACGCTGCACTAACCGTTTTGTTAATCGCTTTGCTCTCGTTTTAATAAGAAATGTCTCCTCTCGAAGCCCTCTTTCCGTGGAAATCTATTTCTTTTCTTTTTAATTAGTGAAAACATGCTACTCTAGTTTGGCTTTACAGTCTACGCCCAATTCCTCTTATTCCGAGTTCTATCACAAAAAGAAAACAGTAATACAATGAATGGGGCTAGCGTCTTCCGTTTTCTTGCATATCCTTTTAAAATGTGACTGTGGTAAGTGGTTTTCACATACAGTATTTATCATGTTTCTTCGTAAGTGTTCCACAAATACTAAGATTCGTCACAAGCATAAAGTAAACCTTAAGCACCTTATATTGACATATCTTGCCTTCGAATCCGGATGGACAAGCACAATGGAAGCCGTTTTTAGTGTCAACACACGTGCCTTGATTACGGCATGGATTCATTGCACATGTACCGCTTACGTCTTCACATCGTGCACCTTCAACGAACAGTTTCTTATTTTCCATTGATTTTTCCCTCGACCACTCCCTCTTTTTAGTTCCGAGTTATTCTCTCTAACTTACCACTAAATCCGTTTTCACAGAGACACTCAAATGAACCCTCCATATTGATACACGTACCACCATTTTGACATGGCATCAACTCACATTCGTTCACATCAGAACCACATAATTTACCGGCGAATCCAACAGGGCATATACAACGAAAAGAGTCCTGAAGAATCGAATGCTATCCTGCTACGGTTAGTAGTAACATCGGCTTAAATAAAAGGGAAAGAGAGAGAGAGAGAGAGAGAGAGAGAGAGAGAGAGTACCACTAAGTATAACTGCCGAAGAAGAACAATGGAAGGAAAAAGGATCAGAATGCTGGTGATGGGTGGCATTAATTCCACTAATGATTAATTCTTTGAAAATTCATGCTTTCATGGATGGATTAAAAGAAATAGAGAAAAACATCAATCTATCGTGGATCGATCCTTGTTAGGCAAACATTTTTTCTTACAAAATAGAAAACGTTGTTAACGAAACAAAAGTATTTTATATAAATCTCTATTGAGAAAAAAGAACTCACATTATCCAGAACACAAGTGGCATTGTTCTTACACGGCCGCAACTTACATTGATCTCCAGTACAGATTTTTAAGCCACGTTCATTTTCAATACATCTTAAGAACACTATTTAGCGAAAGTAAAGATGAAAACCCGAATTTTCTGAAAAAGTGTCACTTACGTATCGTGCAGTAATAGTTAGTATCATAATTTTAGCTTATTATTTACTGCCTATTCTTTATAACGGCAGGCTATACATTGCAAAATATAACTTCAACGATGCTGAGATATTTGCAAAGCTCCGGACCGCAGGTGCCTGCGGTGGGGAACGAACGCGCTATTGTTCTTTCCGGGGTGTAGCGCGTTCATCACCACACCACGGGGGTCCTTCGTTTCACCTGTCTTTCAGCTAGTTCTATCGATCTTTCGCCATCAGTATAGTTAGTAGTAGTTAGTGTTTTGAAAACAGTTATGATTGAATAACCGTAAACTCTATGTGGGAAAGTATGAAATTGTTCCCATGAAAGCTTCTAGCTACCTTTCACCGATACCGCAGTCTTCGGTTTTCGTGCATCCCTGAAGAGACGTTCCTGACAGTTCGCACAGGGCTCCATACCAATCTAGTATTAAAGAATATTTAATACTTACTAGATTTTAAGACTCTTTCTCATGTTTGAAAACTCCGGAATTTATTAATTAATGTGTTCGCTTAATTATTATCAATGTTTCGCTAAAATTTTAAGTATTTATCTAAAATGGTGATGTACAATAGACATGGACATTTTCTCACGGTATAAACACTTATTTTATTCCCATTATATACGGCTAATCATGTCGCATAGTGGAAAATCATTAAAGGCTACTAAGTTTAGTATCTGGGTCGATCCTCAGTATAAAGCTGACAAGTTCGAGTTTTTGGGAGAGGAGTAGGAAAGACATACTGCGCCATCAACAAATTTGTCCCCAAAATTGCTTGGAAGAAGTTCCATTAGGCCCGCAAAAGGCCGACGAAAACTTTTAATGAAGACATAAGAATGTTCAAGCAGGATTCCAGGGAGCTAGCAACATGTCACTTCATAAAAACAGCAAAATCTTCAGATAGTAACCAAACTCGCAAGGAAATCTGAAAACCTTCATAGACAAAGGATACAGTGCAAGGAATAGAAGAATTAAAATAATGCTGGCAAAGATTCAGTATATGAAGATAACCATGAAACCACTCACAAAATGAAATAACATACATGTAATAGTCATAGACTGATAATAATTATTGAAAATATCAACTACTGATAGTAATATTAATCACAAGAAATATCATTTTTTTATTTCTTTTCCTATATAACCCGTCCTCACGTCTACTATGCGGACTCCAGCACTTCACACATTCGATTCGTTTCCTCGCATCAATCATCGACGAGGATCTTCCAACTTTTACGTGTGGCTTCGGCTACTACTAGAGAATTTTCATTTCATCTTCAACGTCGTAGAATGCTGGTCGAGTCGATTTTCCCTGGAGTCCTGAGAATGCCGGGCTGGAGCTCTCAAATCGATTGCAGAAATTTGTTCTTTCCCGATCAAACCCGTTACCAATTTCTCGACTCCGATAGGACAAGGGGTTTGATGAGCTCGAGGCGGGATCGAACGAGCACCGTGCTCGTAATGATCGAGATCTTTACCACTGTGCTATCCGGCCCACAAATACTAAATATTGATAAGAGTAATCATAATTACTAAAATGACCTTTTCAACATTTCTATAATACTTCTACACTCTATATTTCTAGCTCATCATGTAAGTATGAAGACAATTTCACTCACTACTTAGATAATCCGTGTTCACATGATTTTTGGGCCCCGGAATTTTCTCAATTCGCTTCGTTCTCTCACTTCTGTTATTCACGAGGGAGCTCAATCAAGTTCGGGAAGGGGTTCGACCATGTCTTGTAAAACAGTTCCTTTCTATTTTCACCAACGCGCTAGCCGCTGATTGGACTTAATTTTCCTTGGGAACGCAAGATAGCCGTCTCAGGCAGTTCTGAGCTCTCCACTAACCTCCAATGTTAATTGAAAGGAAGTTTACTGCCTTAAAACGCAGTTTCCCCCATGATGACAACGACTCTGGTAATTTTTCGAACAACTGCCCAAGGTTATGTAACAAAAAAAATTCCACAAAAAATCTGTAGTAGAGAGTAATAAAAAATTCATTACTTCATGCTATTATACTATTTTCTACAATAATGATACAAGATTTTTCGAATGTACAACAGCTTATGGACCTAAATCAGTGGTTCTTAATTAAAATTTAACCATTATTGATGGAAAGGTAACTTGCAAGCTAAACATGTGTCGTTTAGTAGACTATTCACTTTCAGTCAATCTAGTTGACGATTGATTCGGTTAAGTGTAACAACGAGGATTTGACAGGTTACTGACGAAACCTGTTCGTCATTCGTTATAGAGTTATGAGAATAAACCGTCCAAATCGACAGTCATCATCATGTAGAGGTTACGATGTTCAAAAAACAGTCAGCTGAAGCCTCCTACGGAATGGCTAAAGTAATTTTCCAATCCATGTTTCCTTCTTCTATTCTGAAAGAATAAACGTTCCCTTATCTGAGGTTTCGAACGAAATTTGCAACCTCTGCTAACGTTAAAAGCGCGCAGGCTCAATGCTTAAAGATGTAATCTAATACACACACTATACGCAAACGTTCGACACCGCAGATGCCAACCAAGTCAGGCATCAGTCTGAGGTCGGCAAATTGGTTAAAGACTTGTCTGGGAAGGCTCTCGCCGATCCATAAAAGAGGGTTACTGACCATGTTGGAGACCTTAGAATGCTGTAGTAGAGATATTCCAAGATTACATGGAGAATCAACCTAACAAGTATTCAACAACATTCGGGAAAAAAATTCCTCAAGTACAGCCCAAAGTGTTGGAATTCGCGGAATGTGTCGTTACGGGTCTCATAAACCAAATTTAATAACGAAATTAAAAATAACAATAAACTGGTATAAAGTGTAAGAGAGGGCACAAATAGCAATGGAAATAAAAATTATTAGCATAAAATTACGAGAAAACGAAACTGAGTAAGGAGAAAGAAAGGTTTAATACTGAGTAAGGAGAAAGCGCTCGGCAATGAATTGTCTCCTAGGAATGCGCCACACAATCGACCGCATCGCAGATTAGAATTGATTGAATGCATATCCTACCCATACAATAATTTGCGATAGCCTACCGATGTCAATACTTTTCCCTTCTCACAGAACCCTGACACCAGTTTACTTACTCCAAAAAAGGGTAGGCCATAGTCTGCCTCAGGTACGGGGTCGAACCGGCGACCTTTGCATTTAGAGTAGGTCATCTCTAATGACTGGGATACACCAGCCCCGAAACAACATGCGCTTTGAAAATCACCGTGTTCCAAACTTCGAGATTAAATCAGAAATGACAAAAATTGCGATTAGAAATATATTAGCTAGAGGTTAAAGAAATTCAATCACATGCGTTTGCAGCATTTATATATAACAATAATATATTTTCTAAAAAGAAATGCAAATCTGAGCAACAAGTAATTTTTAAGAACGGTTGAACATGGGAACTCTGGAGCACCATAATCATTATCTCTACATCTCTATCCCTCTCTATCCTAAAAACAATATGAGAGCAATTCCTTGGGAAGTCCAATCACGTTCATTTCCCGATGACAAACTAGGCTACTGGTGTTCGTTAAATCTGATGCGAAGTCAGAGTCGTAGACAAAAGAATGAGATTAGTTCTTCACTACAACATCGTGTCCTAGATGCTATAAAATGATAGAGTCCATCATTAAAAACTGAATTCAAGATCCTGGGAAAGTTTCTTACCCGTCTAAAAGTTGATGCTTAGAAAGGTAGTAAATACTGTACCTTGCGCACATTGACACTGCTCGTTTCCAAGGGCTCCTTTCACGCACACACCGTTTGCGCATTCAAGATTACACGTTTCCTGACACAATGACCCTGAAAGTCCTGGCGGACACCGACATAGGAACCTCCTGCTTAATTCCTCGATCAGACAAGTACCACCATTCAAGCAGATGTTACTGGCACATTCACGTTCGTCGCCTATCACTGAAATTTTCAGTCTCTCATTGGGAACTATACGTTACTGTAAATATAGCACTGCCATTTCTTAGAGTGAACGGACTTACTTTTAGCTTCCTTTAAAGTCAAAAAGTGATATATTGGTGTTTTTGGACTTTTGGGAAAAGGTATGGATACTTGACCAAGTTCTAGAATCTTTCAAAAGTATTACGATAGAATAGAAAGACGTACTGAACATCTCTATGGCAACTACATTTCTTTCTCGTTGTTTTTTTATTCTTGCTAATGTTAGAAAGACCTGTCAGCCTTCGTTTTCCCTCATATTTCATCTACCTAACATGTTGTCATCGAATATGCTTTTTTATTAGTTCAATTAGTAGAAAACGGGAGAGTCTTGACAGCCTGTAACCTTTTGCAAAGGACTCATATCCTTCAACATGATTTTCAATGACAGTGGAGGGCGCGCAGCAATTTATTAGATCAATATTTCTACTGAAATATGAAATAAAAGTACAGTGCTTCATGTTGATGTACAATTTAAAGGAGAAAAGCTTGATAAATGATCAGTGATCTCCAAGGAGTTTTAATTTTTCTACCACTGAGTCGTTAAAACTGTGTCCTATTCTATTCCAAGAATTGAAACCACCCGGAGTTGAAGTACTCGTAATGACTCACTGCCTAATCGCAGCTTGGGGGTGGCATGGTCTCTAGTGGAGATTCATCTCTGACGGCATCGCCTTTCAAGGTAGTGAGGAGTTTCAAATCCCCACCCGGTGGCCCAACTAAGAGTAAATCTATACAAAGAATTGCCACCATCCAGTATGAAAGAAGTTGAGGAATAGCAAACCTCCTTTTATTCACAAATGTTAGCTATTACTACTTATCATGACATCCGCCTGGAAAGTGTTCCAGTCCGGGGTAGGAAACTTACTTTCAACCAATAAGGTGCCCATTAAAGAAAGGACACCTTCATAGGAACCTCAATGTGCTGGCACCTTACGATTCATAAAGACGAATAATTCAAATATTCAAGTAAGAAGAAATAGGAGAGCATCAAACTTGAAAAGACTCTTCGCTTGTATGGAACGCTTGAAGTTCTTTCTAAATATACTGGCAAGTGGGATGGTGCAGTCGTCAACCACATGCGACTATAATCAGCTGTTCTAAACTTCCTCATTGGAAGTCACGAAAAAGCGGTGGGTTTTTCGAGAAGTTGTTGATTGTGTAATTGCCGGAGAGTTCTTCGTCTTTGTGTAAGTGTTATTGAAGCGTTTGGCCTAGTAGATTGTATATCAGTATACCCTTCCAGGCTCTGAAGAAGGCGATACTGCCGAAACGTCATCTAGCGTTGTATTGTATTGTGTTTTCTTTATGGAAGTAAATGTATGCTGTTTTAAAAACCTCGCGATTGCTGAGCAAGAAAACGACACATTCATATACTGGCAAGTCTTGGATCGATTAGAATACTAGAAAACCATCTCTGCTCATGGAAGTTATACTAATTGTACAAATAATGGAATTTATGCAAACAATTTCGAAGGAAAAGACAATTGTTCCAGTCGCACGACCACCTATATCACATACGACATTTCATTTACCTATGGGGGAATCATTAAAGCCTCAATTCGTTCCACTGAAATCTAAAATAGCCTATTATATATAAGAAAAAAAAGCGTGGATATTTCCCTGAAAGAGAACCATATGAGGCTTATTGCTTACACGGTTTATACCGGTGACAGGAGTGCTCACCGATAACTCTGTATGCTCTCCAGTGGGAGTACGGTAGCTTAGACTTCCGCCACCCTGCAGAAGATCTTGAGCTGTGAAACACGTTTGTTGGAGGCAACTATGAAATACCTTCTACGAATCTCAAATTCATTTGGTTTTAAGATTTCTGCTTCATCTAGATATAGGGTAAAATTCACACATATATAAATGCACTGGTGAATATCTCATTTTATCTTATATCTTAATAACATGAACATATCTTCATGAACACATAAAGCTAGTCAAGCGCGGTAGAAACCAGGAAATCTCTCTTTGATTTCCACATTGTGCAAGCTCACTTTTACTCCGCAATTAATCCTCTATCCGTTGCCTAGGGACGAGTTACATAGCCTAGAAACCAACGACCGCGGAAATGTATAGCATAACAGAGGTCTCTGAACATATGGCATCACTTGTCAACTGTATCACCTGTAGTCCCATTGATCGCCGATTGACTCGAACGGGCGCCAGTAAATCTTCCATTTTTCCCTGTCGCGTGCAAGAGTGGCTCAGTGGGTTCTGCTCGTTCTAGGGACACGTCGAGCAACGTATCTTTCTTCAAGGCTCTTTGTAAAGAACTCTGAGCATCGGGTCGGTGGTCTTCCTGCGGTGCGTTTGACATCCCGAGGAATCCAGTCACTAATGGCTCTTGTCCATTAGTTGTCATTCATACGCATCACGTGTCCGGCCCTCCTTATCTTCGACTGTTTGGCGTACAGAACCCCATCTTTGATTTTTGATCGTTGACGCAGGTCGGAATTTTGGATCCCATTCCTTACTTGTGTGGAACGGGATACTCCTAGCATCGTCCTTTCGACTGCGCGTTCGATAAGGGTGAGTGACCTTTCATCCTGCTTACGCAGCTACCAGGTTTCTGACACATACGTTGGGGTAGGAAGTACCGTTGAGTCGAAAAGGTGGGCATGGAGTTTGGTATTCTTTGTTCTCCTCACTACATCCTTGATGATTTTGAAAGCTTCCTAAGTCGCTCGTTTCCTCTGTTCAGCTTTGGAGCTAAGTCGTTCATCATATTGATTTCCCGACCTAGTTAGATACAACTAGAGCATTCGGAGATGATCGTTCCGTTGAGCTTGAGTGTGAATGAGGCATGCGAAAACAATCCGTTCTTTATGAACATCGTTTTTGTGAGATTTAGTCGAAGACCAATCTTTCCACAGGCTTTATCAAAGTCGTCAAGCATACGTTCCCCTTGGCTAATATTTGTTGTTACAAGGACGATGTCATCAGCAAGGCCAAGATGGTGTAACCGCCGACCGTCGATTTTCTCCCTCGTATTATCCCATTCCAATGTTCGCATGACGTTCTGGAGAGTGGCGATAAATAATTTTGGAGAGATGGCATCACCTTGCCTAACTCCTCTTTTCACGTCAATGTTAACATCGTTGTAGAATGGTGATATCTTGGTTGTGAAATTTTTGTTTGGCTCACGAAGAATCTTTATGCACCGAGTAGGGACTCCTTGACTATCAAGGGGCTTCCATGACTGCTTCTATCTCAACTGAATCAAAGGCCTTCTGTAAATCGATGAAAGTGAGACAGAGCGGTCTTTTGTACTCTCGCGATACTTCAACGAGCCGTGTTACCGTGTGGATGTGATCCATCGTACTAAATCCTCTTCGAAACCCTGCTTGCTGACATGGCGGTCTAGTGTTCTGTCAATCCTGTTTAGGATGATTCGAGTGAAAAGTTTGTAGACGACAGACAGCAAGCAAATTGGGGGGATAGTTGCCGATATCGTGTAGGTCTCCTTTCTTAAACAATAATACGGCATACTGGTATTCCACTGAGTAGGGATCTTGAATTCGGACAGGTAACGTGTGAAGAGTCGAACCAGTGTGTTTACGAAGACTGTCGGAATGTTCTTCAGGCGTTCTGGTCTCATCCTCTTCGGACCTTGCGCTGTTCGTTTTTTCACCGACGAAATGGCATGTCGGATTACGGAAGGGAGAACCGGTGGTACAACATATCCATTCTCTTTTATTTCATATGACGGAAGGTGTGCGAGGCAATCGAAAAAAACTGAGTAGCATTCGTGAATGATTTCCTCCATCGCCTTTCTTGACGCTGTATCTGTTCCGTCTGAGCGTCGGAGTGCAATCATCTTGGTCTTGTAATTGGAGAAGATTCGGTGGTTTTGCGAATGCTTTTGCGGGCCTCTGCAGTTCCGACCATTACTGCTGTTGTTCTCTCTTCAAGATCTTCTTTTATCGCTTGTCTGCATTGTTTTGCAAGTTCGGACGTTAGTTCGCGGTTACCTGCAACTCGTGCGATTCCACGCTCGCGTTTCACCTTGAGTGTTACTGGAGACAAACGTCTCTTGGTGACTTCCGAACTCTCAGCTCTCATAATGCTAGCGTGAAGATGTTGAATGAGCCGATCGCATTCTTCGTCGATGATATCGACAGCAGCATCTTTCCAACAGCCGACTAATGAACCGAATAAGTCTCAGTTAGTGGTGGTGCTGAACTTCGGTTTTGGAATTTAGCGGCTTTTTCACCTTTCCGCAAGAAATAAAATCTTGCACGAAAGAGGCAATGGTCTGATCCCGTGTAGAATTTTTGGATAAGAGCGACAACGGTTGGGCAAAACCTTTTCTTTTACTGTAATGCTTTCTATTTCGTTATGATGGTACTCTCGATTGGGAGACTCCCACGTCCAGCGCTGAGGATGGGGCTTCTGGAATTTCGAGTTACCCTGGATTGTCTTGGTCGCCGTGATAAACTCAGACAGCCGCTCACCCATTCGTTCCATCCTAAACCGTGGGTCCCATTGTGACGTTCTTCAGACGTTCTTAGTCCAACCTTGGCGTTGAAATCTCCAATTATGACCTTGAAGAATGTGTGGTCTTCTCTGGAGAACTTCTCTAAGTTTATATAGAACGCTTCGACTTCTTCTTCGTCATTGTTTGATGTCGGCGCGTAAACGACGAGGATTGCCCGAGCCGGAATTGATCCACGTCTTTTTAATCGTAAACGTCCGATTCGGGTTGTAAGTTGTTCGAATCAATCGATTTTCGATGAATCGATGAACATATGGGATACGACGAGGAATACATTTAGTGGGAACATGAACGCTGTTTAGCAGTGTAACATTTTAATATCTATGAAAACCGTTTAAAATGCTAAAACAGACATTTCAAATCACAGTTATTGTAATTACTATATCTTTGGGAGTTGCATTCAATTCTGACGCATATAGCTCATTGTCCGCAATTAGTGCCAGTCATGGTAACATAATAACTGACGTGCAATGTAACAATTATCGATCGGACGAAGGTCATCGGCGCATAGCAATCACGACGTTGGTATCTCATATACCAGTAATCGTAAAATATTGATACTTCAATATTCTCGTATTATATTGGATGACTAATACCTATCCATTGATGACTAATCTGGAAAAGTTATATCCATGTGTAAGATTTCTATACACTTCAGTTTATGAGACAACGGCTCTTACTTGGATAGTGGAACGGCCGTCCTCACTGGTTGAGCGGACCCCAAAGCACATTCTCCATTTTTCGGTGTTTTGCTGCTTTATTGATGTGGTTGCCTGGAGTCCCGACGTCAACCAGGTCAGTCTGCCCTAGGGCGTAACTACCATAGGCAGTGGCAGTCCTCGTGGATCAGAGGGTTATTTGCGACCATGCGACTAGATTGACACAAGGACCGTGGTGAATCCTAGTATTAGTTTCCTCCTGGCTGGACTTCCTGATGGAAACGCCGGATTTATTCTCAGCTTGGAAAGCCCTGCTGGTGGGATGAATCTTCTTCTGTACA